CGGAGGAAAACTCCGTGTTGCCTAGACCACGGCCTTGCCCAACACAAGTTATAAATTCGGGCACCGCCGGGAATCGAACCCGAGACCCCAGGATTACAAGGCCAGCGTTCTAACCGCTAGACCACCGTGGCTATTAGGTTATATTACGGAAACTGAAAGTGGATAGAAAATTTTTATATGCATATCATATTAATTTCATGAAGTGGGGATATTATGTTATTCTTCCAGCTTAAACAGACGGAGAATAATTACATTTAAGATAATACATATAAATCTAAATTATAATTTACGCGTTGAAATTAGTTTTTGTTGTTGTAATTATCAGTTTCTGTAATCCCCACGAGACATGAGATCTTTTACGGCGGTGAAAAGTTGGACTGTGGTCTTATAGATTTTTAAGTCGCGAAGTCTTGTAAGTGATTACCGGCGTTTCGAAGGAATCTGCCCCTTCATCTTCAAGGTACTGAACGCGGACACTGTCAGCTCCAGTCTGCAGAGGTTAAATGCTCGGTGACCATTATCATACAAGGAACTCATATTTCTTTAACTGGCGAAGAAATCTCTGATTCTATAAATGTTAGAAATAGTTAAAATATAAATATATAATTAAACAATTTTCTTTTTCAAGTAAGGATTTTATTTGTTTATGTATGGGACGTAATGAATAAATAGCGGGTATTGTAAAGGATAAAACCACGTAGGATCTATGCCCGAAAACATTCGGCCTCAGAACGTGTTAAATCGGTATACATTGGTATTCGACCTATACAGATTTTCTACCACATTTGTAATTAAATGATCAGTTGATATCATTCTGCCATTTCTCACTCGACGCTTAGTAAATTATGCAGGTGATACAGTGTTGTTAAATAAACCGAGAAACAAACACTTGACTATGTAGGATTTGAGGTTATCATGAGTTCGAAGATGTCTGTCTTCTGAGTTGTAGCTTCTTGTAGTTTGGTAGAAGTTTACCAACGTTTCGGCGGTGTTTTCTGCGTCCATCATCAGGACGATACTATATATTTTCTCCCATTTCCCAGTGGTCTTTACTGTAAACAACTTTTAAAAATTGCTTCATAATTAAAGTTATCTCTTTTATAAACTTCAAATTTCGGTTGGTAATAACACCTTGTACTCTGATTAGCAAATTGATTCGAGTTAGAGAGTCAGGGTTAGATTCCCGGCTAGGTAAGCATGAATAGATAGGCTCTAGAGTCCAGCCAGTCCAGACTAATGGATAACGTAGGCTCTCTCTTTTTTCGACTTAATGACGTGATGATTACTTACAGGGGCAACTTTTATCTTACTCTCAGTAGCAAACGCAGAATTCAAAAATAGCATTTCCCCCTGTATTTGGGTTTAAGGAAACACCGCTTTGTGGAAAATTAAAGTTTGATTTTACCATCACGATTGTAATTTTTCTATAGTAATTAGTCATATAATTAATTTGATTTGATTACTTTTGAATAATTTTAAACAGAAAACAATGTAAAATGAGGTCACTTTTATATTGCGTTCATACATCTCTAAAGCATTTTTTTTTTGGTGTGTTAAACCCAACATGCATTCGCGTTATGAAAACAGCTTTCATTTACAAATGAGTCGCGTTATATAGTCAATTCGCGTTATGAAATGTTAATATTCATACGCGAGACCAAATTGAAATCAGTTTTCCAAATATATTTATGCGCCTTTCAGATTTATATTCGGTTGTACAATGATTTTGTACAGATACGGTGGTCTAGCGGTTAGAACGCTGGCCTTGTAATCCTGGGGTCTCGGGTTCGATTCCCGGCGGTGCCCGAATTTATAACTTGTGTTGGGCAAGGCCGTGGTCTAGGCAACACGGAGTTTTCCTACGGGGGCTTCCCCGGTTTCTCCGTGGCATCCCAACAATTACCCCATTCACACACAGAAGAAGGCAATGGAAAACCACTTCTGGATCATCTGCCAAAAACGTATATGAACAGGTCCCAGTCCGAGAAAAGGATGGAAGGATCCTGTTCATATGGACCTGTCGTCAGACAGAACACTAAATAAATAATAAACAGACAGAGCGCATAAGAGTGATTGTCACCCCTTTAAGTTAGGTTAAGGGCTCGTGTGTGATTTGCAGTATCTTAAAAAAAAACTTGAATCAAACACCTGATGTTTATGACCTGACCTTTTTTTAGATCTTGACACTTCAAGGGCAGCTTCATACTTCCAAATTTAGAAATGTTTATATCTTAGAAGCTTTTTTGAAACCGAATTTCTCTAATATATGTGTGTGTTCTATGCTTAATCGGTGTGCAAGTAATGAAATACATTATGACCGATAAATTTTGTGTTCCTTTGCGTGAAATGAGCTCCTTTCAGTTAATTTGCATATTTATCTCTCAAACTACTGTGAGAGTTTCTGATAAAATTTCTTGTTGGCGAATTGTAAATAGAACTTTTAGAGCAGATTCAGTTCTGATTTGTATTTGGCGAATATAAGCCGTGATTTACGTAAATATCAACAAAACTTCACCAGTTCTTCTGGAAAACAAATATCTTACGAAAAATGAAATGAAATCCTGAACAAAATCCAGTTATATTGAACAGAAACCTCCTCACGGATAAAACAGTCGGTCACATTATGAACAAAGTAGCAGCTTTTTATATGAACCGATTGTTCATCGCCTGAGTTAAATTAATCGAGTCCACGCACTAATAAAGTATTATTTTTATTAATTTTATCAAACATTATTCTCGCTTCCGTGCTTAGATGTTACAATTTGTCTCTTTCCTTGATGTTTACCTTCCAAAACTTTGTGGTTCTTACTTACTTCTATGAGTGTCATAATACTTGGCTTGACTACGCTAATTACGTATGGTGAACAAATTATAAGGCTCCGCGTTCTTCAGATTCCTTCAGCCCCCGTCACTTCATTTTCGTACGTCCAGATGTCCTCACCGTCCTGTTTTATACTAACTAACTTCCTCTCTCAATCATTACATTAAAACTTTGTATAGACATTATTACCATTTTTAAAAATTTATTTCAAATTATGGCTACGAGGTGCGATCGGAAAGTTTCAAGACTGCGCGTATAAAAACCCGTACACTTATCTCAGGTATTAAATTCATCCATCACCCTCGAAGTAGTTCCCCTGGGAGTGAACACAACGATCCCAGCGCCGCTGCCAAGCCTGGAAGCATCCCTGGAAATCTTTCTTTGTCAGCCTGTCAAGCACCATCTCACCACCTCACGCAAACTGGGGCAGTGGCGTAGCTCATATTTACTGGTATCCTCCTTTTACAGCGAGACTAATGCTGGATGACATTGGTGTACGAGCAGAATATGTCATGGGTCACAACGGTGCAGCCATCATGGCTGGTCGGCGAACTACATCTGGATAGACGCAGATGACAAAGTTCCTCGCCATGAATTCGTCCGTGGAAAACATCATCTCCAGTAAGGTAAATACACAAATTTTGTTACTGTTGTTGTATAAACAGTGGTTTCAGATAAAGACATTCCGAGGCCGGAACCTCGTTGTCCACTGAGTGCCCCACCACGCGAATCAGGCTGACCATTAACCCCGTAAAACACGGTGATATCTTCATGCAGAATACAACATTCATCAAAAACTGCTTTTTCCCAGAGTGTATTTTATGACTGTCGAATCATCTTCAAAATGAGCAAATGAACTTTAAACGGAGACGAGTTTTTATTGAAATAGAAAGTAAAATTTAAATATTAATTGGATTAACTTTGCGGTTAATCAAACACAACTGTTTTAAGTCGATCGCGATATAACCTAACTGACATTGTTTCACAGTAATAGCATTACTACTGATATGATTCCATAAAGAAATCGAGATAGAGCACGACCTAGAAACCGATGGAGAGACCAATTCCTATTATACAAATATGTCTCAATCACAGTAACCTCGGTTAAGGAATTTGTGTTTGTTGCTGTGGTTTAATTATAATTGTTGTAATATTGCCTTCTTCTGTGTGAGTGTGAGTGGAGTAATTGTCGGGATGCCACGGAGAAACCGGGGAAGCCCCAGGAGGAAAACTCCGTGTTGCCTAGACCACGGCCTTGCCCAAAACAAGTTATAAATTCGGGCACCGCCGGGAATCGAACCCGAGACCCCAGGATTACAAGGCTAGCGTCATCAGGGCGATGAGTATGAAGATTTTTGTCTTCTGGGTTGTTGCGCTGTGTAGTCTGGTCGATGTTTACCAACGTTTCGGAGGTCATACTGCCTCCATCATCAGAGTATGAAGATTTCTGTCTTCTGGGTTGTTGCACCGTGTAGTCTGGTAGATGTTAACCAACGTTTCAGAGGTCATACTGCCTCTATCATCAGGGCGATGAGTATGAAGATTTCTGTCTTCTGGGTTGTTGCACCGTGTAGTCTGGTAGATGTTAACCAACGTTTCAGAGGTCATACTGCCTCTATCATCAGGGCGATGAGTATGAAGATTTCTGTCTTCTGGGTTGTTGCACCGTGTAGTCTGGTCGATGTTTACCAACGTTTCGGAGGTCATACTGCCTCCATCATCAGAGTATGAAGATTTCTGTCTTCTGGGTTGTTGCGCTGTGTAGTCTGGTCGATGTTTACCGACGTTTCAGAGGTCATACTGCCTCCGTCATCAGGGGGATGAAGATTTCTGTCTTCTGGGTTGTTGCGCTGTGTAGTCTGGTCGATGTTTACCAACGTTTCGGAGGTCATACTGCCTCCATCATCAGAGTATGAAGATTTCTGTCTTCTGGGTTGTTGCGCTGTGTAGTCTGGTCGATGTTAACCAACGTTTCAGAGGTCATACTGCCTCCGTCATCAGGGCGAAGACAGAAATCTTCATACTCAACGCTGTGAAAACCTCAAATCTTACAAATGTTGTTTCGTTTTGTAAACACATTTTTATTAATTTTTGTCATTCTGTTTTGAAGATTACACAGTTACCATTCTCATTCCTCAGAAGGGAATCTGGCTGATATTGAATAAAAAATAAAATACATGCAAACATCTAAAAATTGTGGTTCTGTTTTGAAGATGGTAGACATTAAGCCCGGCGTACGCTACCAACCAAACCGTACGTTTGAATTGGATTTGCTGTTTGCGTGGGTTTGAAGATGACGTAATAACTTGGCAGTTGCCACTGGCGTGTTACGTGGGTGATGATGTCACGATGTTCTCTGAAGTTTATGTTCTGTTAGACACAAGTCAAAGGGTCTCAGAGACTTCTAAATTTATTCTTGGAGTCATGCATTGTGTTTTCGCATCAAAAGGATCATTAAAAATGCACCTTCCATGAATCACAGGTCGAAATTATTATACTACGTCTGAACATGTGTGTGTAATATAATGAGTGAGGACCTCCATACAGTGCCCAGTTTAGGGATTTCTGGGAATTTACCTTCACTTCCCCATACGTCTTCATGTTTCTGTGGTTTAATAATAATACTACGAAAATACTTGTTATGTTCTCCGGTCTTTTTTGTGGCGATAAGCAGTGATTAATTATGCCCCACTCCAGAAACGTTTCTCTGAAGGAACGTTCTAAAAAAAGGGGTTTCCGATGTTTTTAAGGCCCTTTGTTCTGCAAGGGCATGAAACTTGATCACGAACCCAAAAAGGAAGAATGCAGACTGAAGAGACCATTTCGACGCAAGAGTGAGTAATAATTAATTCAAGGCTGGAAAACATTTCAAAACGATGAGCTTCAAAATTTACACTATTCACCACATACTATTAACTAACTATATGGCTTACCGAACCCGAAGGTGCATCACCGAATTAACCAAAGCCCTCCACCGGACCCTGTCCTGGGCCAACAAAAGCCAGTCTCCTTCAACTCCTATCTCCGATAGATCCCGCCTGAGATTATCCTCCCATCTACGTCTAGGTCTCCCCAGCGGGCTCTTCCCCTCAGGCTTCCCAAATAGTAGACCCAACCAACTAGATGGCTTACGGAACCCGAAGGGTCATCACCGAATTAACCAAAGCCCTCCACCGGACCCTGTCCTGGGCCAACAAAAGCCAGTCTCCTTCAACTCCTATCTCCGATAGATCCCGCCTGAGATTATCCTCCCATCTACGTCTAGGTCTCCCCAGCGGGCTCTTCCCCTCAGGCTTCCCAAATAGTAGACCCAACCAACTAGATGGCTTACGGAACCCGAAGGGTCATCACCGAATTAACCAAAGCCCTCCACCGGACCCTGTCCTGGGCCAACAAAAGCCAGTCTCCTTCAACTCCTATCTCCGATAGATCCCGCCTGAGATTATCCTCCCATCTACGTCTAGGTCTCCCCAGCGGGCTCTTCCCCTCAGGCTTCCCAAATAGTAGACCCAACCAACTAGATGGCTTACGGAACCCGAAGGGTCATCACCGAATTAACCAAAGCCCTCCACCGGACCCTGTCCTGGGCCAACAAAAGCCAGTCTCCTTCAACTCCTATCTCCGATAGATCCCGCCTGAGATTATCCTCCCATCTACGTCTAGGTCTCCCCAGCGGGCTCTTCCCCTCAGGCTTCCCAAATAGTAGACCCAACCAACTAGATGGCTTACGGAACCCGAAGGGTCATCACCGAATTAACCAAAGCCCTCCACCGGACCCTGTCCTGGGCCAACAAAAGCCAGTCTCCTTCAACTCCTATCTCCGATAGATCCCGCCTGAGATTATCCTCCCATCTACGTCTAGGTCTCCCCAGCGGGCTCTTCCCCTCAGGCTTCCCAACCAATACCCGGTACCCACCTATTGCCCCACAAACTATTAGATGATTTATCAAGGGAATTTAGGCTGGGCGGGTGTATGTTACTAATGCGTAATATAAGAAATTCATTCAGAATTTTCGTCGGAAACCGTAAGGGAAGAGAACACTTGGGAAAGATAATATTAAAGTGAATCTCAAGGCATAGGATTCCATTGGCTAAGAAAAGAAATACTGTGATGAATTTTCGAATTCCATAAAGACGGGCAAATTCTTTGCAATGAGTGAATAAGACTTTGCTCTATGAAACTGGTGATGATGGGATGTTATTTGTGTATCGTTACTGAGCTCATAATTGTGACCAAAAGGGATAAGAATGCAAACAAACAAGTTGAAGAAAATGGCGATCTGGATTAGCAAGTCAGATGACGTAACCAAACAGGGTCCAGATGGAGGGGAAAAGTGCTTCTCTCCGTCTGCGTCCAAATTTTGTCTTATTACTAACTATATAGGTGCAACGTCGCCATCTACAAACTGAGGTTGAAACTACATAACTAGCCCACGATCGGCTACATGATGCAATAGTGACGTGTACAGGTAGCCCTCGATTTATGCCAGTAAAAATTTGCGCCGATTCAGAATAACGCCAATTTTGTAACCAGAAAGTGAAAAAAATATATTTTAATATTATTTATAACGTTTTAAAATGTTTCTCGTACTGATTCTTATGCTAAATCGTAATTATTACATCGCTGATTTTGAATAAAAATTATAAATACAGTCATCTCTGCAATTACGTGTGTTTCGTTAACGCGAATTTGCTCCAATGAGATCGATGAATCGGTAAAAGCTGTTTGTGAAATGCAAACTTTTGCATATGCGAGTATGCTCATATGCAATTTCATTCCTGGCGCTTTAAATTTTCAAAGGACTAATTTAATCTATGTGGAGGTACTGGGGTTATTTTTACTACGCGATTTTCTATAGGTCGGCGTCTTATATGAATGCAACTATCGCATAACAGCAGAGATGACGGTACACTGTACCAAAGAAGTGTATAAAATATTTTGTTTAAATTACCTTTATTTAATTTACGTTATTTCAGAGGTTTAAATGTAATGCCATTATATTACTCGTCAATGTTTGGGTGCTGGAAACGCGTGTCATTGACTTCCTATTGATTTACATTATAAAAGAGTTTCAATTTACGCCGGTTCGTGCAGGAACACATCCCCGGCGTAAATCGAGGGCTACCTATATATAAAACTCGTCTTTCTAACGCACCATACACCAGATTGGAGAAGTGTACTCTTAATGGAGTATAGCAATTGTTTGGCAACAGCTGTTTTTGACAATCGCGGTTTTCTGTTCATGTCCAAAAATTTTGAATTTGCTTTTTATGTATCAGTGGTTTTTGTGTTCACACAGAAAGAAATTTGTGGCATTGCGCACCGAGATTCACATTTGTTGGGGACAAGGCTGTAATTATCGCTTGCATACAATCAATTTTTAGAGTGATTTTAATATTAACGTGCTATCTTCGTCATGGTTTCTCAAGTAGGCCCTTTGCTTCAGGTTTTACGACTAAAATTTTGCATGTCTTTACGGTTTTATGAGTGTCGGCAGAAGCTGGGCTCCTTCAAATATGAAATTTCCCATTCCACCAGGCACTCTATAGAATATACCACTGAATGATCAACCTAAAATGTCCCATACCAGAAATCATTACAAGAACAATGTCGCTGTTTTTTTTA